TTTGCAGACTTCTCAAACTCTAGATACAGATCACCTAGGTTGAAAAAACTAGAAAAGAAAAAGACTGCCCCCCTTTTTTTAACCTTTTTATTTTTTCTTTACAATTTTTATTTTAGTTTCAGAGGGTACACGTGCAGGTTTGTTACATAGGCAAATCGCGTGTCATGGGGGTTTAGGGTATGGATTATTTTATCACCCAAGTAACAAGCATAGTACCCCATAGGTAGTTTTTCAGTCCTCACCCTCCTCCCACCCTCCACCCTCCACCCTCCACCCTCAAGTAGACCCTGGAAAGACTCCTCTTCTAACATGAATTTTTTTTTTTCCAGAAGATGATTGGGTCATGATATATTACTTTTTCTTTTGAATAAGGCCCCAACTCCTAAAGAAAAGTGTAGTAATCAACAGCATGGTCTCTGGAGCCAGACACCAGGTCTGAATTTCAGCCCCATCACATACTAGTTGTATGACCTTGAGCAAGTTATTTAACCTCTTTAGCTTTCAGTTTCACGGTCTGTTAAAAGTTGGGATAATAATAGCATCTTTCTCATGGTGGTATGATGTGATTTAAATTTAAAGCTCTTAGAAAAGTACGTGGCCTGGCCCTTAAGAAGCTCAATAAATTGAATTATACAAAGGAGTAATTTCCTGTTTTTCCCTGGCTTTTACGCCCTCACTACCTGCTTGCCCACCCACAGCTGACAATGTGGCCACCCTGTTTCTGAGTCATGCCTTCTAGAGCCCAGAGAGAAGACTGGCCCAATATCACACAGAAAGATTAATAGGATTGGAATTGATTGCTTTGGAGTGACTCAGCAGGCCAGTAGCCAGTGTTCTTATCTACTTCATCTCCTCCTTAGGAAAAAATGAGCATAGTTGGAGGAAACATTGGGAGGAAATATGGCTGGGGCCAGGCAGGATGTAAATAATATTAAGAACAATAACAACTTAATATGTGCCAGGCACAGCTTTAAGTACACTCTGTGTGTTTTATTCAAACCTCACAGCAACCTTATGAATTAATGTCTACCATTATCACCTGCGTCATGCCGAAGAGAAAACAGGCTCCAACACCTAGAATGGCTTAAAGCAGAGGTTATGAACCCAGGCAGTCTGACACCAGAGATGGAGTGTTCAACCACTACACTATACTGCTGTCCACATAAAGCAAACAGAAGGATAGAAGAGGCAGGAACAAAGGACAATGGAGTGATACAAGTTCTTTTTGAAGTAAATTGATTGAGGCAATCTAGTGTTTTGGCTAAGCACTAATTTAAGACCAAGGGTTAAAAACTAACTGGGTTTAAGGCTTACTACCTCTGCTACTAGTTATTGATTTTCTTTGGGCCTTAGCTTCCTCGTCTGTAAAATGGGAATAAAACTAACAAGTATTTCATAGGCCAGGTGTCATAGTTCACATCTGTAATCCCAGCACTTTGGGAGGCCAAGGCAGGAGGATTGTTTGAGGCCAGGAGTTTGAGACCAGCCTGGGCAACACAGTGAGACCTCATCTCTACAAAAAAAAACTTTTTTTTTTTCTTAATCAGCCAGGAGTGGTGGTACATGCTTGTAGTCCTAGCCACTCAGGAGGGTGAGGTGAGAGGATCACTGGAGACCAGGAGTTCAAGGCTATACAGGGTGCCATGATTGTGTAACAGCACTCTAGCCTGATTGTCAGAGTGAGATCCTGTCTCTAAAAAAGTAAATAAAAATAAAATTGAAAACTAACTAGCATTTCTTAGAATTGTGATAAGGTTTACAGAAGATAATGCACATAACATGCCAAAGGCAGTGCTTAATACACCTACCTAAGTACTCAGTAAGAGCAACTAATAGCATTGGCTGTGCCACCTTCAGGATTTGCCTAGCTATACAGCTCCCCCTGCCCCTTCCCAGGGAAAAGCATTTAGGAAGGGGAAAAAAGTGTGTAAATTGTCCAGAAAATGAAGAATTGAGCAGAGTCACACTTCTAGACATCCTTTCCCACCTCTCAGGAGTATATGTGGGCATGGGGTGGGGGGTGGTTAGTGAGCACCAGCATTATTAGCATCACCTTCTCCTTTCTCAAGGAACAGAGCCTGCCAAATTATACCCCAGCCTTTGGTTGCTTATAGCCTGAGTAATAAATCTTTTTTTTTTCCTTCAGTTTTGTTTTTCCATGTCCTTTTCACATCAACCCTGTGAGGTACTGGGAAACAAAGAAGTAATTTCAAGTGTGTTAAGTGTCTTCCACGTGGTGGACACAATGCTGCTACTTTCCATCAGTGCCCAATACCTCACAATATTACTGGGAAGGGGTGCACTTCTCCTCACTTTATAAATGATGCCCTGAATCCAGGGAAGGATGCTGTCTTCTTTAATGTACATTTTCTTCTCATCCCATCTATTCAGTACTACTCTGGCCTGAGGTTGCATCCTGCTGAGGATTTTCTGTAAACTGAACTACAGTATTCTAACATTTCACTGTCCTCAACACACCAGTCTTTGCATAGTCCCAAATCCCATGAGTTGAGAGTATTTTGCCACCAGTGGAGCTGAGATCAACTTATGATTCTGCTACTTACTCGCTATAGGATTCTGTACTCGTCACTTAACCTCTCCCTCTATTTCCTCATTTCTAATATGGGGATAATGACACCTTCTACTCCATGAGGTTGTGAAAATAAAATAACTTTCTTCAAAGTGCTCTGTCAACTGGAGATGCTTGACATAGAAACATTATTTAAAACAGAACCATCAGATAGTTTAATCTCAAAGGCGCCCCAGAAGGGCAATGGAACGCCTGTATCTCTTACTTTCTATCAAGTAGGACACCAGATCTGCCAACTATGGTTGGTGACTTTGGGAATGTTGGGGGATAGAGAATACAGGAATACCCTGAAGTGACTGTTGAGGAAATGATCTTTGCCATAATCAGTGTGTAATCTATATCAACATGGAGATATCTGAATCCTTTTTATAATATTCTTCTGAAAGCAGTATCATCTACACTATTTCATGTGGCACTGAATACTTATTTGAGGTATTGGGCACTGTTGGAAAGTGCCCAGCATTGTGTCCACCACATGAAAGAAACTTAACACATTTGAGATTAAATTAAAACTGTTTCACTTCCTTTGTTTCTACTTTCCCTTTCCCACAAGCGCTCCATCTGAATTTGCAAAATCCTTCCCATCTTCCCTTCTAGGCCCATCCATTACAAACGACACCTTAGTCCAGAACCAGGCCCTAAACCTCCAGATCAGTCTTTCTGAATCCACACAGCACTGTGCACCTGATACTGTCTTGTACTGCAGTCATTTATATACTTGTCTCAACCTCTGCCCTTCCTTCCCCACCTTCCCATTCGATTCACAAACTCTTTGAAGGGAAGAAGGAAGAAAGACAGACTGATTCCTTTGTATTTCACCAACCTAATAGTTGTTTTATGTCAGTCTCATTTTATAAAGCTTTTAATTATGGAAATTTTTATATATAATTTCATATATATATAAAGTATAAACACCAATATACCCCTCACCCAGCTTAACAGTTAATGACACATCTACAATAATCACATCTATACCTCCACTCATTCTGCCTTCTTACTTTGAATAACGTAATAGCAAATGCCAGACAGCGTATGATTTCATGCATAAACACTTCAATATGAACGACATTTGTTGCACTTCTATGTCCCCTGCAATTGGAAGATGACTTGCATTTATGTTCCCTGCTACTGGGCGCACCTCAGATTATTTGTGAGTGTGCCTATTATGTACCATATTTTATGCTTGGCTTCAGAGGTTCTGTCTGAGCTGCGGACGCACGCCAGTACCAAGCCAAAATATTCCCAACCGATAATTGCTACGGTTCCAAGGAATGAGCTCAGGGTGCACGTGGGAGCCCAGGAGCAGGGCCCTGATTGCACTAATTGAGCGGAATCGGGTTTTCTCATCTCATGGTGACCCTGAGTTCAAAGTCACCACGAGACTAGGGGTCTCCAGCAGGAGGCGCTGCAAAGAGACGGGGTGGTGTGGGGCCCCCTGAGTTCAGCTTCTCTTGAGGGAGCCCGGAAAGGCGGCCATTGCCGGCTGCGGGTGCAAACCAAGTAACAACTCCATTTAATAGGTGAGCGGGACGCCGAGTGCCAGGGCCTAAGAGGAGCCCCAGGATTCAGGTTCTGGGCAGAGGTGCAGAGGTGCAGGGCAGGTCTGGCACCTGCTCCCCAGGACTTCTGGACGCTGCGCGTTGACCTGGTTGCCACAGGTTCCTGTCCCAACTGCCGCTCTTCCTGATAGAATATATCTCGGAGCAAGGCACTGGACAGAACGAGGAAACACCTGTTTCCAACCAGAAACGAGGTAAAGGGGAAGCCCCCACCAGGCTTCCAATGGCCTCTCATTGAGCCTGCTCTCGAGAGCCTTGTAAAAGTGCGCCCAGAAAGCCAGCGGAGATCATTTTTCAAAAAGATCGCTTTCTATTTCTTACTCCCTCCTCCTTTTCCTAAGCCTAAGCTGTAACGTCTCTTTCTTTAAAAACAAAACAAAACAAAAAAAGTCGTCTTTCCTCCGAGGGCCTTCCCGCTCCTCTCAGACCCTCGTCTTGATGTCTACAAGGACCACCACCCCCAACCCCACATTTTGGAACTGCATTGGCTTCCGGGTTTTTCATTTCCTCAGTATCCCGCTAACCTATACAGGTGGGAATTAGGACTTGGGGGCTGTAGAACAAAGAAACCTGTCCCAGGTCAGACGACCCTTCTGCAGCCTCCTACCAACTGGGGAACAAGAGGAGATCAGGAGCATGTGAACCCCTAACTCCGGTCTCACGTCACTTTCCAAAGGCTGGCATAGCAACCCGAGGACGCGTGGGAGGTGGGGACAGCCCCCGGGCAGCAGACAGACAGACCCCCACGGAACAGGCCTTGAGTGGCCGTGCGCGCCAGCGGCCTCCACGCACTGGGCTCTGTTATTTCATCAGCAGTTTCAGAAGAACCTGCCAAAAGCAGTTATGCCTCACTGCAATGTGTAGCTTTTTCCTGCCATTTTTTCATAATAAAAGAGGGAGTGAAGCTCGCTCGCTCTCTCCCTCCACCCCCCTCTCCCAAAAAGAGCCAAATGGATGCAAGAAGGAAAAAAAAAACCCACACACCAATCTCCGAGGGGATGCCAATGAGGTGTGGCTTGTATTTAAATATCCAATATGTCAATGTAAGGGGAGTGGGTATGTATATAAAGTGCCGTTTGCATCTGATAGCTCGACGAAGCCAGCTATGAGAGGCCGGAGGAGATGGATGCGGCGGGGAAAAGGCACTTTGACTGAGAGCAAGGTCAGGAGCGCGCTGCCTCACGCTCCCCGCCGCTGAGAAGTTCCTTGGACGCGAACAGACATCGACTGCAGCTCAGCAGAGCGCGGAGAGAGCGAGCTAGCGAGGGAGCGCCGCCGACCCGCCCGCGCCCGCCGCGGGGAGAGGCAGTTCGCGCCCCGTGGCCCCGGCTCGTACAGCGAGCGCCCAGCACAACCCGCGCCTCAATCGGCCCAGCCATGGCAGAGGTCGGGGGCGTCTTGGCCTCCTTGGACTGGGATCTACACGGCTTCTCCTCGTCTCTGGGGAACGTGCCCTTAGCTGACTCCCCAGGTTTCCTGAATGAGCGCCTGGGCCAGATCGAGGGGAAGCTGCAGCGTGGCTCACCCACAGACTTCGCCCACCTGAAGGGGATCCTGCGGCGCCGCCAGCTCTACTGCCGCACCGGCTTCCACCTGGAGATCTTCCCCAACGGCACTGTGCACGGCACCCGCCTCGACCACAGCCGCTTTGGTGAGGACGCGGTCGGGGGGACGGGAGGCGGGCGGACGGCGCGCTAGGGAGCCGACAGCTCCGGGCTCCGGCGTAGGGCCTGCGGACCGCCCACCGACTTGGTGTCGTCCGGTCCAGTCGAGGCAAGACACGACGGCGCGGGCGTGGGCCGCTCGACATCAGGGGGGCCTTGCACCCTCGGACACTCTGCAGGGGGCGGGGGCGCCTTGCGGTGAGGCCTCTCCTTTCGCTGGTCCACCATCACTCCCCGGGGAGCAAGGGGCTTGTTTTGGGAGCTGGACTCTAAGCCTTGGATGAAAGCAGGTGGAGATGAGAGAGGGGTGGGAGCTCTCGCATTGGAGGCCGGGACCGTGGCTGCTGCGCGGGCCGTGCCTCGAGGGCAGCAGGGCTGTGGCAGCTGATTTCCTGGAACCGGATCCTGCATGGGCCATGGGCATATGAGGCGATCGGCCCGCACTCAAATCGCTTTTGCGTGCCAGCTGTGGCATCTGCCTGCCTCGGAGTCGCTCTGTCCAGGGTAGGAGCCAATCCAGGCAGCCTGGCATGAATTGGGAGTCTAGGAAAACCTCGCGGTGTCCACCGTGTAAGGGCACAAGTTCTGGGGCAGCTTTTGCTGGAAACTACCTCTGGACTCCTTGCCTCAGTGAGAAAACCGTCCTGGGCCCACTCCCAGTCCCAGAAACAGTTGTCTCTTGGGCCCAAAACAGTAAACGTTCAACCTCCACCCAGGATTGTCTCTGCCTGCCTGCCACTATACAGACTGTTCAACACAGCTGCCTGTCTCACATATAGAACTAATTACACAATTATAAGCCTTGATCTATGACTAAGATCATTAGGTTTCTAAGCAGATGTGTTCAATCCTCAATAATTTGCCATTTTTATTTTCAATTTCCAATTCTCTACTAAGTCATCATGGGAGTTCTGTGACAGCTATCTTTGCCCCTCCCCATCTTCCAGTGTCCTCTGCTTCCTCCCAAGGACCCTATAATCCAAGAAGGACACCTTTTCCCCCAAGCCAGTAAGATATTCTGCCTATACTCAAACATGACACCCTTCTCTTCGTTCTCCCACCCTCCTTCTTGCCAACATACCCCTGCTACCCCCTCAAAACCTCTCCATCCTCCTATTCTCCATGCCTTGCTAGAGCTGCATCTGGAGTGCACAGCAAAAAGGGGGACTTAGGGGCCAGTTGCTGGGTAAGGCCAAGACTAGCAAACAGCTTAGGGCAGAATTGGTCTTCCTTGCTGGGAACAGGCAGGAACCGTAATGAGGTCTATGGCACCTTGGAAAAATGCACTCAAACAGAGCTAGAGTAGCATAGGTTGGGAGGGGTAATGGAGGGGTGCATGTGTCTGTATAAACTAGCAGCAGGTCCTCAAAAGGGTGATAAGGTTAAGTGGGAGGAGACAAAGTGTTAACTTGGCTCCTTTCCCTTTCGTTGCTTGTGATTTTGCAGTCCCCTTTTGTTCCTCTTCATAAGGAATGGGACTCCCACCCTGGCCTCAAAGGCTTCCTGAAATGGCCTAAAGATACCGGGGTAAGTCATTGCTGATACATAACCAAAGAAAGTCATGAAATGATGGAGAAATGTGGGGCGGGGCAGCAAAGATAGAAAAATTATGAGCACACCTCCCAGTAGCTCCAAATATTTTTCTGATTCTGTGCCTAAGCTGAGCCCAGTAACCTACAAGGTCAACATAAATCAGTAATGGGCTCTTGGGATAAGTGGTCTTTAATTAGCTCCCTAAAGACACATCTTGATTTATTTTCATCTCCTAGGTCTGCTAAGGGCGTTAAGTTTAGGGAGAAATCACAGGAAATAAGATTGGCAGGAGGAAGGGACATTTTCGTTGCTGCTTAACCAACTGCTTCATTTCTGGTTTTGCCTTTAAAAAAGAAAAAACACTGCCCCAAAGCACCTCTGCATCACCTTTTCCCTTTCCTCCTTCCCTAACTTCCTGGCAGTTTCCTGTACTTCCTGTAAAGAAAATGATAACTGGTCAAAGCTGTGTCTTTGTAACCTCCCCTGCCAACTTTAAAACACATACTCTTTCTCAGTTTAGCTTTTGGCACAGAAAGAGGTGGCGTTCAAGTTTGCTAACTCTCTCCTCCCTCCACATTTGAGTTAATCAGCCAGGGTATTCAATAAATTGAAACTTTAACATTCCATAAGTGCTTTAGCAGTCAACATTCCAGCAGGGTAAAGTAGGCCAGACTTAAGATATAAAATATTATAGATTTCTGCTAGGGGGGAGGAGGTAGTCTCCAAAAGCCATGTGAAGTAAATAGCTATTTGTTGTAATTGGAGAGCAGGGCCCCCAAGGATTACCCTGGAATCCATGTGTTCAGAACAAGTCAGGCTAAGCCCAAGAGCAGTCTCGACTCCAAATAATAACCTGTTGGCACAGCATATGCTCTCCGCTCTCCATCTGCAATCAGTAGCCAGGAGTATTTCAATCCCCGCCTGGCTGGTAGCATTTATATGAAGTTCACAAGGATCCTGACATTCCGAGGGGCACCTGTGGACTGGCAGAGCAGAGCTTGGGAGCCAAACTGAAAGAGAGTCCTCCCACCAGGTGGGACGGAGTAGGCTCATGCAGCTGCTTCAGTCCTTGAGTGATCTGGTTCTCGTTTGGCAAGATGCCAAAGCAGCACTGTCTCGGCCCCAAAGGTCTGAAAGGATAGCTGAAGGAGTTCAGGCAAGTTTTGGAACTAGATTAAACTACACATTAGACAGTCATCTAGCTAGGTTCTGAAGCAGTGGGGCTTCAGAACAGATCAGTTTTGACTGAGAGCCTGGGGAGAGAGGTATAAGAAGAGAAGAGTCTGGAAATTGTCAAGAAAAGGGCAGAGCTTGATGTGGGTGGGTCAAGATGAGGCAGAGTAGAGAGAGATCCTGGGCCTTGAAGGGGTAAGAGTACTGAGGACAAACTTTGTCTACTTAATACTTCACCTCAACACTTTGCTGTTAACACCCCTGTCCAGCTGTAGCTGGGAAAATATGAAAATGGCTTATTTTCTCTCCCCCTTCATGTTGGCTAGGATTCAGGAGAAGGTTTAGGAATATCTCTTCCATCATCATGTGCCACTGGGTTCCCACAGTTTGAATCCAGCTAATAGGAAAGTTGGCGAGGGAAAATGATGGCCAAAGACAGCTGGGTGGGGATAATTCCAGCTGTCGGAGACCCCTGTTACTGGACACAACCCAAGTGACTTCCTGTATGATCTGTCCTTTGGCATCAGGGTTAACAGAGAGTTGGAGAAAAACTGTAGTGACTCAAATGGCCACACCTCTTGGGTTTCATGATTTGTTCTCACACTATGTCTTGGGCAGTGAGATCATAAGCTGCGCTCTGCTACTTAATGAGCTCAGGGTTGTCAGAGACCTGAGATACTTACAGAATGAGGGAACTAACTCTTGAAGCTCAGGAGTAACCTGCCTGAGCAAAGCAAAGAACTAAAGGCTCCCACATGTTAGTGTCCCTCAGAGTTTAGGACCCAGAACTGAATCATGACCTGGTTTCTCGTTTCCTCTCCATACTGGGCACTCTCCTTTGAACATGCTCTGTTTTTCCATTTCCTTTTCTAAGCACAGTAGAACTAAACACACTACTCTCAGTGTGGTCTAACCATAACAGAGCAGAGTGGGACAATCCCTCCTCCCTTTTGCTAGTTACTAGACATGTATCAGTGAAGCCTTAGAGCATACTAGCTTTCTTTCTGTTTTTTTCCACTAGCTTTCTAATTTTTAATTTTATATGACCAATTTTACACTAGCTTTTTAATAAGCCCACTAATCACCCATCATACAGAGTTTGCCTCATTCAATCAAGTCTCTTAGCCATTGTTGTGTTTTACTAAGCCACATCTCCACATTGCAGAGATGGGTAGACTAGCAAGTAATTAAAATGCACAGCAACACAAAATAACAGTACACATTTTCAAGAAAGTATATATGGTTACCTGAAGTGGAGAGGCAGATGGGAGCAGGGTATGAAGAGAAAAAGAAAGAAAGAAATAGATAACTATAAAGACCTTGCACAGACCAACTATGTTAATAGGACATGAACTAAGTAGTACAGTTAACTCAACTGTCTGCACTTGAGGGTCACACTACCCCAACAAAACCCCAAGCACAAAACACTTTGGGAAATTTGGGGGACCAAAGTGCAGGAGTTCACATTGATTATAATTAAGCATAGTTTGTTGGAGCATGCCCATTTTTCCATCCTCTTGAAATCTCTTTGGATATTGCTTATGTCATCCCTCTCTAGAAGCTGTATATCTTCTAGAACTAAGATAAGCAGTTCTCATATGTTCTCTTACAAGTCATTTATTGAAATATCAAAAAGAGCAGAACCGAACGCAAAACCTGGTGCAGTGCAACTGAAGATTTGGGTGCATTAAATCAATGTCTGATTAACCCCTACTTGGCACTGGGTATTTTCTCTTCCCCTCCTACCATCTTGTCTCAATCTCATTTCCCAAGACTCCTTTCTTTGCACAGTAAGATTTGATAACAACCAGACTGAGAATAAATCTTGGAGGATTTCAATGTGAGAGGCCAAAGGCCAAACTATGAGTGTTCTATAGAATTGCAGCAGAAGAACCTTACCTCCTTCCAATAGATCTGGGTGGTTTGTGGAAGCACACGCCCCCAAAGCTGCCACAACTGAACAGCAGCCCACCAGCTTGAGTCATTGGGATTCTTCAGGAGACGTCCCAGTAGAGTTTTTTAACTTGATTTTAAAATTAGCCACTTAACACTCTTGATCTTGGGAGATCAGTTCTACCCCTATGTAGATTATGTAGATTATTATTGCCCTTAAGAATTGCATTTTTGGGCCAAGCATAGTGGTGCACACCTGTAATCCCAACACTTTGGGAGGCCGAGGTGCACAGGTTGCTTGAGCCTAGGAGTTTGAGACCAGCCTTAGCAACATGGTGAAACCCTGTCTTTAAAAAATAAAAAATTAGCTGGATATGGTGATGTGTGCATGTAGTCCCAGCTACTAAGGAGGCTCAGGTAGGAGGACCACCTGAGCCTGGGGAGTTCGAGGCTGCAGTGAGCCATGATCACACCACTGCATTCCAACCTGGGTGACAAAGCAAGATCCTGTCTAAAAAAAAAAAAGAATTGCGATTTTAGATAAGAAAGACAACCAGATATGAGCTCATTTCAGACCTTTGGATGACTTAAACAATCAAGTTTTTAGTCTGTATGTTGGAAAATGTGGTTAGGAGACAGGAATATCAAAGAAGAATCTAGTTGACTATTATATCTGTATCTAGATAATAGACATACTATCTTGGGACAAAACTGTAGTCTTTGGTATCTCCAAGATTTTCGTTTGGGTCCTGTTACCCACTTAGGACTGCTGCTGGGTAAATGAAAGCATTTTCAAATCATCACCTCTACCATTGTCAGCTAGAAGGACATTTCTGGATTTCTTCTCTTTGGCCTTAAAAAGTTGCAACATCTCAAATCAGTATTGAGTCCAATACTACCTGCCAACTCTTTGCTGTGGATAAACTTAAAATTCTCAAGAGAGGAGAGAATGATAGGCTTGTCAGCTTGGGGCTGTACTAACTGAGAACACTTTTTAGGAGAAAGCTCTCATGTGGCCAAGTTTTGACTCCTGCCATAAGCAGGGGGAACAAACAGTGAGTGGCCTGTGTGGCCTTTGTTAGAGTCAGCTACAGGCAGTTGACAGCCTCATGTGGCTTTAAGGACATGGGGGCTGACAGGGTGCAAAACAAGTTGAGCCTGGAGGACAGCAAGGTAATGTTGTGTGCTCTAAAGGAAGACCGAGGTGACTAGGAAAGATACAGAATCCTGGCCTCATTCTTGCATTTAGAAAACTGACTTCCTATTTCTTGAATTTGACACCAATGGCACCTTGCAATTATGTAGCTTTTGTAGCCAAAGCCTCCTTCTCACGGCCTCTTCCTCATAATATGCCTAAGAGTGTTGAGTAGAAGCAGAGAGGGTTTCCCCCATTTTACATATGGAAAAACTGAGGCCCAAAGAGACTAAGTACCTTCTCTGAGGGTCCATTCTTGCTGCAAAAGATGGTTCCATCAGGCACTTTATCAAAGGCACACAGGGCTGGCCTCCAGTTGGGGACAAATGACTGGTATCCATGTCACCTGAACAGCTTTCTCTTAGTCTGATGTCAGTAAAAGAAATTGTGTTCATTTTTTGCCCTAGGAATCCTGGAGTTTATCAGCCTGGCTGTGGGGCTGATCAGCATCCGGGGAGTAGACTCTGGCCTGTACCTAGGAATGAACGAGCGAGGAGAACTCTATGGGTCGGTAAGTTTAAAGTTTTTTTTTTTTTTTTTCCGTCGGAGGTTATTACAACCAGTGCTTGGACAATGTAAAGCAAAACTATAAAAATATTTATTTAGCACTTGAAAGCAAGCACTTTTTAGCTGTAAAGGAGTAGTGTCTTCTAGTTATTTCTTGGCTGCCCAGGGTCTTGCTACATAACACCTTCAGTCATTTTGGCCTCTACCAAAACATAAGCTTTTTGTTTGTTTTTTGTTTTTTTGTTTTGAGATGAAGTCTCACTCTGTTGCCTAGGCTGGAGTGCAGTGGCGCATTCTCGGCTCACTGCAACCTCCACAGGTTCAAGTAATTCTCTTGCCTCAATCTCCCGAGTAGCTGGAACTACAGGCATGCAACACCACACCCATCTAATTTTTTGTATTTTTAGTAGAGACCAGCTTTCACCATGTTGGCCAGGCTGGCCTCGAACTCCTGACTTGCCTCAGCCTCCAGACTAGGTGATCTTCCTGCCTCAGCCTCCCAAAGTGCTGGGATTACAGGCATGATCCACTGTATCTGGACCCAAAACATAAGCTTTTCATTATTTTTTTCTCTCTTTTTCTTTCTAATCATCATAAAGTCTGCAAACAGAAGGGAAAACAGTTTCTATTTAAATACATACAATTTTTTTTTTGACATGGAGTCTGGCTCTGTTGTCCAGGCTGGAGTGCAATGGTGCAATCTCGGCTCACTGCAACCTCTGCCTCCTGGTTTCAAGCAATTCTCTTGCCTCAGCCTTCAGACTAGCTGGGACTACAGGCACCTGCCACCACACCTGGCTAACTTTTGCATTTTTAGTAGAGACAGGGTTTCACCGTATTGGCCAGGCTGGTCTCGAACTTTTGACTTGTGATCCACCCACCTTGGCCTCCCAAAATGCTGGGGTTACAGGCATGAGCCACTGTGCCCGGCAGGCTTTTCTATGATACATTTGCTTTTGCCTTTTTCATTAGAAGGCCAGCTAGTCTGATGATAACAGTAATCTGTACTGGTTTGGCAGTACATGGTCGGAGTTTGGGGCATTAACCCTCCAGAGGAATACATCTGAATTTGAGTGTATACCCAGAGAAGTAGCAGACTAGCAGGCACAAAAATAGGCAGTGGAAGAGCTGGCTTTCAAATTGAGGATTCTGAGGTTCACAACATAGCCCCTAATTTCCAGACTGCTTCAGCTCAGTCCTAAAGGCCAAATGAAACAAACAAATGAAGAATGAGGGTTCCAGGGTCTAGTGACAGCCTTAAGCCCTCAGCTAGGACTAGGCTAGCTGCAGTGCATTTTCTGTATCCTGGAAGCTAGCCTAGCACTGGGGAATGGTGAGTGATTTGCGGACCTTAACCCTTCCATGGGATCCCAACTCCTGGCTCTGGCTTTTGAATCACATAGCATACTTTCTGGCTGCCTGCACCCCATGAAATCAGAACACATTTTTCCATGACACCTAAGAGATAGGCCTGTCCCCAGCACTCAGTATCGGCAACCCCAGCAAGTAGTATGGCGGTTGGATCAAGTGTGAGAAGGGACAGAGGCAAGAGACCCAGGAACTGCCAGCCTGAAGTAGCCAGATTGGAAGAGCTTTTCAAGGAGATCTTTTCTGAGCTTCCCAACTGACAGGCCTGAGACCCTTCATTAGGAGAGATCACAGCTCACCTCCCATGGAGCTTATATAGATTCAAGGCCTTTGCCTGTCAGTTGACATGGTTTGCTATAATCTCAATGGATTTGAACATCATTAGCTATAAGTAGGGAGAAAGCTCAGTGGGTGTCAGTGGGGCATTGGGAGGCCGTAGAAGCAATTCTCAGGCTCAAAAAGCCAGGTGATGCCATGTCCTCCAGTCTCCTCCCTTCAGGAAAGATTTCAACTAAAACATTTTGTGTAGCTTATGAAAGAGAATGAAGGAGATATAGACAAGAGTGTTTTGCCCTATTTGGAAGAAAGATACCTTCAGTAACACAGAGAAATAGAACTGGAATTTTATAACATCAATGTGCTATTGCTATTTCAGGGTTTCTCCACTAGCAAGCTGGGATAGGATAAATAGTCATATCATGGGTTCTGCTTTATTTTCTCACCCTCACAGAAGAAACTCACACGTGAATGTGTTTTCCGGGAACAGTTTGAAGAAAACTGGTACAACACCTATGCCTCAACCTTGTACAAACATTCGGACTCGGAGAGACAGTATTACGTGGCCCTGAATAAAGACGGCTCACCCCGAGAGGGATACAGGACTAAACGACACCAGAAATTCACTCACTTTTTACCCAGGCCTGTAGATCCTTCTAAGTTGCCCTCCATGTCCAGAGACCTCTTTCAGTATAGGTAATGAACCTCTTGGTGCCCTCTGTCACCCATGTACTCTAGGGCCACGGTTGTCTCTGCAAGCACTATACTCATAGCTTTTCAATCCTTCCTTACTATCATTTTAGATAACAGAAAAGCACTTACTGTTGAACTCAACCCAGCTGTTCCCTTGTTGTTCAAAGTGTATATCAAGGTTGGGTTATTTTGGGTAGGGATGGGGGGGGCTGGGCTTGAGGGAATCTTGTATATACTTTTTCCTTTACTCATGTTCTTTCCCCTGAGGTAGCATAACAAAGAATGGGAGCCCTTGCCAAGGGTCAGGGGTGTCTTATCCCACAATTTACTCAAATACCTTGACAATAGGTATAAATGAAAGACCAAGGAATCTGCCACAGATGCTACCTACAGAGTTTTGGAAAAGTCTCTTTAAGAAAATCCTTGAGGCTACAGCCTTGCTGCAAGCCTTCCCTGCATTGGCTATGCAGATTTCTCATCTGTCCTGACATGCAGTTTTCCTGCCATTGGAAGTGGGAGATGGGGTAGGTTGTAAGAAAATGATATTAAAATGTAAGCATGGATACTGTGCATAAGGACAAATTATTTATAAATGTATATGCTATTTATTTTATATATTTATTTATTTCAAAATAATTTTATTTTTAATGAGAGATGCTATCGCTGGATTTCATCAGATAGAATAAGGTCCTACTGAAACAGGATAAAATGAGTTATTAAAGGCTTTTACTGGCAATAAAATGTCTTTATATTGTAAGACTCTGTCTAATTCTATTGATTTGTACATTTAATAGGATTATAAGGTTGGCCAGCTTCTTTCTCTCCAACTCATTAGAATTTTCTGATGTTGGCATCACACTGCCTATGCTGGATGTCTCCATCAGCCATTATGTATGTTAGCATTATCTAGAGGCCTTATGTGAAGTCCTAGTGGTCCTTTCCAGTTCTATGACTTTAAACTTACAGGTGAATCAAAGCTTCAGGAAGGCCTAGACCAACAGCTATTACTGAAGCTCCCATTTGTGCTTAGGACTATGCATAGAGAAACTCTCCTTTGGGACTTTGTTAGGGTCCAAAGTCCTAAAGTCTAAACGCTAATTGCGGGTTTCTTACTTCAGATATGAAGATGAAGGGATTCAAAATAAACATGAATCAGCTGATGCAGTGGCTTATACCTGTAATCCGAGCACTTTGGGAGGCCAAGGAGGGTGGATCACTTGAGGCCAGGAGTTCAAGACCAGACTGGCCAACATGCTGAAACACTGTCTCTACTAAAAATACAAAAATTAGCCAGGCATGGTGGCAGGTGCCTGTAATCCCAGCTACTCGAGAGGCTGAGGCAGGAGAATTGCTTGAACCCAGGAGGCAGAGGTTGCAGTGAGCTGAGATCGCACTATTGCACTCCAGCCTGGGTGACAGAGCGATTTTATCTTCAAAAAATAAAATAAATAAATAAACACGAATCAACAGAGAGACTGAGTTTTTGACCCAGTCAATTTCCATTCTGGAGATTTCCCCCTTCTCTTTACCCCTATCCTTACCTCCTGCCAGTGCTTCTCCTAGGGAATTTGGGAAGCTGTAAACACATTCATCTACTGCAGTAGTGCTTAGTGTATTCTATATGGTCTCTTGACCAGCAGGATCACCTAGAAACTTTTTGGAGATGTAAATTATCAGAAATTCTGGGGGCAAGGCCCAGCAGTCTACATGTTAACAACCCTTGCAGGGGGATTCTTGTGCATACTAAAGTTTGGGAATTACTGCCCTAAAGGAATGGTTTTTTAAAAAAATTATTTTTGCATCTGAATGGTTTATAAATAAAGTTTTAGGGCAACTTCAGTCCAGAAAACAAAAGTAGAGTGGCTCTAGTTGAAGTAGGGATGGCATTTCTCAGAGCTCCCTCTTCCCCAGAGCAGCCCCTGAGGTATCTTGGTTAAAAATTCCTAGTCTTGCTGCTCTGCCTATGGAGTAACCATTCTTTATTCCTTTACCTTTCTAATAAACTTGTTTTCACTTAAAAAAATTTCTAGTCTCTTTACTGATATTTACCAAGGTAGGAGAATAGGGCTATTTGCATTTTTACAGTGAGTGTTGTCAGGAGACAGCAACCTAAGGAATAAAAGTCCCACTGAGTACACAGGCACTATGAAGGCCTGGTGGGAGAGGTTTTTGGGTTTAAGATAGTTCTTCCTAGTGCTCCTGAATCATATCATGTAAGCATCCACTATTTTTCTAATTGTATGGGTGAAACAAATAGCTTAGGTATCAACTAACTTAAAAATCATCACACCTGTAATCCTAGCACTTTGGGAGGCCAAGGCGGGTGGATCACGAGGTCAAGAGATAGAGACCATCCTGGTCAACATGGTGAAACCCCGTCTCTACTAAAAATACAAAAATTAGCTGGGCATGGTGGTGCGTGCCTGTAATCCCAGCTACTCAGGAGGCTGAGGCAGGAGAATTGCCTGAACCCAGGAGGCGGAGGTTGCGGTGAGCCGAGATTGCGCCATTGCACTCCAGCCTGGGTAACAAGAGCGAAACTCCATCTCAAAAAAAAAAAAATCAAAGCCCAAAGGTCTATAAGCTCACCCAAATATAAGTACCAAACAGAGAAGCTGCACATACATGAAATAGCAAATAAGACTCTATTAATAAAAAGTGCTAAATTGTGTGGCTTGTGTGATCATAGACTGGAATGCTCATCAGTGGAACTACTAAGGTGGAGCTTTGAGTGGCCTAGTGTGATTAGGGTGAGTTTCATGAAAGAGGCAATACCGGCTGTGAAGAACAAACAAGATCTGATGAGGAAAAGAGGCTGGGTGATCATGATGTTCATGTTGGGCTCTAGGGAAGAGACACCACCTTTAGTGGTCTCTGGCAGAAGAGGAAATCTCAACTATGTGACATTTTGCATTTTGTTAAATCACCTTTTTTTTTTGAGATACCATTGCTCTCTATCGCCCAGGCTGGAGTGCAGTGGCACGATCTCAGCTCACTGCAACCTCCACCTCCCAGGTTCAAGCAATTCTCCTGCCTCAGGCTCCCCAGTAGCTGGGATTAGAGGTGTGCACCACCACACCCAGCTAATTTTTGTTTTGTTGATAGAGACGAGTTTCACCATGTTAGCCAGGCTGGTCTCGAACTCCTGACCTCAGCCTCCCGCGGTATTGGGATTACAGGTGCGAACAACCACACTAGCCTAAATCACATTTTTAATAGGAAGCATGCCTTTATTTTAAAACAAATTGTACTTATCTATGTAGAGATGTTCAGCTACCTAGAGCTTTTGAAACACAGCCACAACTTCTGAGGACTTGCAAGATACATGAGCTCTGCTATAACTGCCAGGGTTACTCTAGCAAGGCATTCGGTATAAGCCTGGCAAGAGCACAAGCACCATGCTGCAGAGCAGAATTTGCAAGAAAAATGACACTGTAATGAAAACGGGAAAGAGTTCAAATCCTAGAGTCAGGCCTTACTTTTCCCTCTAGGTGGAAGTAGAGAGGCAATGACTTGGAAAATGCTGTAGGGTCCCAGGACGCAGGAGGAGCTCACTCTTCATGTTCAACTTTGAGGGTTAACAATAAATGGGGCATGTGGACAGAAAATGGCAATGAGCAACTCTTCCCATTTTTTTTTTCAAGACAGATTAATGCTGTCACCCAGGCTGCAGTGCAGTGGCACAATCTCACTGCAACCTCTGCCTCCCAGGTTCAAGCAATTCTCCTGCCTCAGCCTCCTGAGTAGCTGGGACTACAGGCACATGCCACCATGACTAGCTAATTTTTGTATTTTTAGTAGAGACGGTGTTTCACCATATTAGCCAGGATGGTCTCAAACTCCTGATTTTGTGATCCACCTGCCTCGGCCGCCCAAAGGGCTGGGATTACAGGCATGAGCCACCGCGCCTGGCTACTGTTCCCATTTTCAAAAAGAGGGGAAAGATAAACTCTAGAAATGGGAAATGTGAGATGGATGACCTAGTACCACTAGATTGATCAACAACTTACTGACACCATATCCCCAAAGTGCTAGACTAATGGATTTCATGCCTACGTAAAGGGAATTATAGAATAATAAGCTTTGGAGCTCTGGTTTGAGATAAAAACATCTGCAATGACCATTTCTTATTCATGTTTGCATACCTTCCCAGAAATAGATGCCTTCTTTAGTGAATATCTATCTATCTATCTACCTGTCTATCTATCTATGATATAAATGCTGGGCTAGAGAGAACAAATGTGTTATAGAACAGAATCATCTGAAATGTTAAGTTCTTAGGACACTTAAATAGACACAATGACAAACTAGAATATGTCTCAGGAAAGATAGTTCCCTGTTACTAAAAGTGTTTCAGCAGATGCTAAACAACCACTTGACAAGGATATTGTATTATTTAGTGGGAACAGGGTGAATACTAGATTAAAATGGTAGAATGTAACATTAGTTTACTAACCATATATTCTGTGGGACCCTAAAAATTTTCCTGAGCACCAACAGTGTTCCAAGAAAGAATATATCAGACCTAAAAGTGCTATCCAACTACTATCCCAGGCCAAGAAAGACACTGTAGACCAGAGGTTCTAAACTTGGGAGTCACAGGGTTATTAAAGGTCTATGGAAAGTCTAAACTTCCTGGACCAAAACTCCCCAGAATAATATGCAAAATTTTACATAAATGTACATTGGCATTTCGCTGATCTTGAAAAGGACCCACAAAATGTTAGGAACTACTATCTTAGGAGTTTCTTAGCATTTGGCGTAAGATTTGGTGGCCACTGTGATCCTATGTGAAAACCTTGAGAGAATCTTTAGGTATTTTTCTTTCAAATATAGATTTTATGCATGAAATCTTTAACTTCTGTTCTCTAACAGACAGCTTCAAGTGGAGGAAGGGGCAAGCTGGCATGGCTGTACTGCTCAGTGGTTCTGAACAAAGTTCAACCCCAAGCCAGTCCGAAGAGTAGTCCTTAGCAGCAAGACTTCCCTTACACTCCCTACATGCTCTTTTCATCCCCACTGCCACTGCCAAATATTGTTCATGCTCAAAAAACAAGCAGTGACTGAACCCATCAGGCCTGGGCACAAGGAGCTTGTCAGAGCCATCAGGGCAGGTGCCCTCCCAAAAGGAATATAATTAAAGGCTTGAAATAATAAAAATATCTTATCTTACCTTCAAGTCACTACAGTGCTCAGCCACTGAAATCCTGGCTGTGTAGTCAGAAAAGCATCATGCCCAGGGCTCTAGCAGGCCGCAGGTAACCTGGGCTCTGTCCAATTTGCCTGGAGTACAGCCCCTGCCTTCCTCCTCCTGAAGAGTCTGGCCGCTTGGGACTGCTTTTCTTCTCTCCAGAGTAGCTGGAGCTACATTGCCTTTTCTGCACTTCCCAAGCTGCACTTTACCAGCTGGTATCTGTCAAGGAAAAAACAGGAAATAGGGAGAAGGGGACCAGAGAGGAGAAATCCTCTCTTGGAAAGATGCATTTACCATCAGCCATCAAACTCCCTAGCTCAACAGGAGGATCAGAGCATAATTTAGTTTGTCAGTTGTAGAGCTCCCTTGTCCTCAACAGAAAATGGAAAAACCACCAGGCCCAGGGGCTCACGCCTATAATCCCAGCACTTTGGGAGTCAGAAGTAGGAAGATTGTTTGAACCCAGGAGTTTGAGACTGACCAGCCCTGGCAATATAGGAAGACCTCATCCACAAAAAATTTAAAAACAATTAGCTGGGCATGGTGGTGCATGCTTGTACTCCTGGCTACCTGGGAGGCTGAGGTGGAACGATTGCTTGAGCCCAGGAGGTCAAAGCTACAGCAAGCTATGATTGTACCACTGCACCCCAGCCTAGGAGACGGAGTGAGACATTGACTCTAAAAACAAAAAACAAAAACTTGGAATTTTTAATTTAATAATTCATTTAAAATAACAATAAATCTGTTACACATTAACACATAAATAATATTTTTCTGAAAAATAACTACATTCTCAAAAACTCAGTTAGAAGCATGCTTTTTTTTTTTTTTTTTTTTTTGAGACGTAGTCTCACTCAGCTGCCCAGGCTGGAGTGCAATTGCTATCCTGGCTCACTACAGCCACCATTTCCCGGGTTCAAGTGATTCTCCCACCTCAGCCTCCAAAGTAGCTGGGATTACAGGCACCCGCCATAATGCCCGGCTATTTTTTGTATTTTAGTAGAGACAGGGTTTCACCATTTTGGCCAGGCTGGTCTTGAACTCTACAGGTGACCCACCTGCCTTGGCCTCCCCAAGTGCTGGGATTACAGGTGTGAGCCACTGGACCAGCCCAGAAGCATGCTATTGTGATACATTTTTCCAAACCTCTTTGATATCTGTCTTGATAGAAGACAGCTGGATTCTCATATCTGCTTCTGCATTCAATCTGTTGCTATATGTTATTCTGCCTGAAGTGTCAGGAGAAAATCTGGCCTCTGATAGATATGTAATTGGAAAAGAGAAGACTTCGTGAACTCCTAGGAGTCCTTGGGCCACACTGAGAATCACTGATCTACAGATTTAACAAGCCCTCAAGTGATTCTTACCATAAGAATAGGTAACAAACGCTGCATTTG